TTTTTTTTTTTTTTTGAGGTTGTATTGTGTGTTTAATGGAAATGTGGAAAGGTGCAAATTGTTTGTATTTCAAACAACTAGAAAGTAACTCTTGCTTTTTTCGGTACTTACTTTGACGTAGATATGAAATATGAAAAGTCCTTGTTTTCTTGAAAAGCTGTACATTTTTCATATTCACGGACAAGAATCTAGAAACTGGGATTACAATCACTCTAGTAAAACTAGGTTTATAATTTATAAAATCATAAAATATGGACTTATGAAGTATGAATCCTGGGCACTTCTCCTACAGGAATTCAGATCTGCAACTGATTCCTGCTGTTACCATGGTTTTTAAAACAGATACATTCCTGTAGTGTGGGAGGGTGGCTGCCCTTGGCCTTAAATGGCTCCCTTCATCAAGTCTTTGTTTTGCCTACACTTTCTTTGAGATAAATCGGATTTGGGTGCTGGCACCTCTTGCTTGTCTCCATGCCCTGCTAAGCTTGGTGTGCAGTAGCCCATGGTTATTAAAATCCTTATCACCATAAGGAGTTAATTATGAGCATAGTTATTTTCTGGGATTAGAAAGGCCTGCTGAATTCAACAAGTGACTCAAAAATAGTCTTATATTTCCTAATAGTTAAAAGTGTGATTAATACCAGCAGCTAGTTCTGTGATTTAACTGTTAACAGCAGGAATTCAGGAGGTGATAAATAGGTGAGCAAGGTAAGGAGCCATAAGATATAATTTAAATTTGAGTTCCTCAGACACAGAAGAGTTGGCCCACATAAGATAAACTCCTTTTAATGCCATGAAACTAAATGAGATCTGTTTTACATAAACGGGCCACCTTCACAGACTATCTACTGTCTGGGTGTGGTTGTGTGCCCTTAAATGGAAGGCAAGACCGTTCTTGTCCATTAAACCCGGATTAGCTAACACCAGGAGACCTTGAGAAGACTTTTTGTTCTGCTGTGCAGAACTTCAGCTTTTTCAACATTTAAGAAATAAAAAGACAAATGAACCTTGTGTTTTTCTCCTGGGGCAGCTATTTTTAATTTTTTTGCACAATTACCCAATGGGATTGCAGCCAGAATTGAATGCTGATAGGTAACATTTGAACTTCTTCCCAAGTCTTAGTTGGTTTATTCTATATGTTCTGCATTTTACATTTCAAAATTTGAAAATCGGCCACACAATTTTGTGTTTTGGGTCTTGAGTAAAATAAGGTGTGTGTTGATTGGATACGTTGTGATACAAGGTGAGATACCCTTTGGAGAGCTCCCTGGGGCAGTGGACACTCAAAGCCCAATTGTTCGTTGATGGAATATTAATTCTGCTGGATGCTACGTTAATTCCACTGAGCTGGTTTTTGAGTTCTGTATCAAGAAAATGCATAGTCCGTTTATATGTGTTGGTTTGTGATAAAGTTCGCTGCACGGGCAGAACTTTGCCTGCCAAGTTCAGAATAATTTGTAAAATGCTAGTTTTCAAACTGATTTATTCAGAAAACCGTTTATCCACCCTTCCAACATGAAAGGGTCAGACAAGCAGTCTCTTCCTGTGAAAAATAAGTAAATATGAAGGAAGAAGCCAGGTAATTATGGAAACCTAAGTTTAGCATTATTATTTAATGGCTTGATTACTTTAAAATTTTCTGTGGGCACAGTTCTAGATATTGACATGACTTAAAGCATAGTCCTTATATTCTTTATCTTGTAGGTACTTTCTTTCCTCTCACATATTTTCATTGCCTTACTGCCAGCCAGCCACAACCCATATGGTGATACCAACATTTCATTTTTTATTCTAGCCTATTAGGAATTTTCTCACTTCTAAAGCCTTACAGCTGAATGTATTTATTTAAAATTAAAATATAAACCCTACTTAATCCCAGCTGTTCTGAGTGAGTAAATTCTTCACATTTGGAAAAAAGACTAACACACCCATGAGTATCTAATCCATGTCAGGGTAGGGATGGGGCCATCTCCCTTCTCTCCGCCCCCAGCCAAGGGAAAGACGACTCCTCATGCTAACCTGTTCTTTCTGAGAAGAGGAAGGAACACCTTCACTTCCAGTCACGGTGTGTCCTCTCCTGGAGGGCCACCCTCTGCCTTCAGAGGAGACAGGTGTTCCTGACACATCAGCTTCCGGTTGGTGTTGGGCTCCTGTTATAGGAAGGGTTAACATAGGCATGTGTCATCTGTGTTTCTAGGTCTAATGCACAGAGACTTGTCTAATTGATAACAGAGCTGAAATAGGTGTCCAACAAAATCACAAAGCTAGAGGACTTCAGTGTCCATGTTTTTTAAGGGAGACTCTGGTAACTTAGTCATCATTTATAACATTGTTGCTAAGGAGCTGTTTACTCAGAATTCCAGGTAGGTGACTTACGAAGCTAACATATGAAGTTAGCTTCTGTCTGGTTGAATACAGCTTTCAGCCAGTGTCTGGCCGCCTTGTTCTGTGCTTTGCAGTTCAGCTCTACCAACGGGGAGAGAAAGAGATGAGGGAGAAGCCAGGCACTCAGCCTGGTCTACTGGTGAGTGAGAGTAGCTCCGTGTGCAGGCCCCCAGGATGCTGTGAGGAGTAACCAGCTGATGCCTAACTGATTTTAACTTTCTTCCCCACCTTAGGATGATTCCAGCCCTGCCACTCCAGATGGGAATGCACCCTCCACTACAACAACCAGTGCCTTCACCATCCAGGAGTACTTTGCCAAGCGGATGGCAGAGCTAAAGAATAAGCCACAGGTCATAGCTGCAGGGCCTGACCTCACAGAGACCCAAATGGAAAGAAAAAGGGGAAAGAAAAGAAAGAAGGAGGCAAAAGATAAAAATGTGGAGAATTACACCGAACCCAAGACCAAGAAGAAGAGAGACCAAGTTGAATGGCAGCTCAGAGACCCTTGTTGGGACGAGAATTCTGGTGTTTCTGCTGAGGATGGAGAGGATTGTGTGTGGCCGCCTGATGACCAGGACATTGCCCCAAAGCCCAAAAAAAGGAAACAAAAGAAAAAGCTACAAAAGCAAGTTGAGGTAGCAGTGGATGCTATATTAGATGAAATACCAGTGAAAAAGAAGAAGAAAGGTCCCAAATAAGTTCTCCAGAGCCAGGGCCTTCCAGCCACTCAGATGTCAGGGCACCACGAGCAAACACCTTTGGCCTGAAGTCAGAACAGAGTTCACCCAAGAGGGCTTTGACATGCCCAGGGGTTGCTGAGTCTCGCCCTCTCACCACGTTTTTCCCAGCGTTTATCCAGAGAACTTTCTAATGTTCCAAATCATGGCTCTCATAAACAAATAAATTTCTTTTTAGACTGTGAGCCCTTCAGCATGAGTGTTTATTCATATTTATCTGAACACATAGTTATGTGTGTGTGCACATGTGTATGTAGGTATGTCACAGTCTGTATTTGCTCTTGATTTCCTTCAGTAACAATGAATTTTGCTTCCTTCTCAAGGATTTAGTCTAATTAAAGGATTAAGAGGCAATAGTTTAGATGCAGATAGTTCTATTTGTTCTATAGCCAGCCATACGTTTTTGCCAAGCAGGTATTATGTGATTACATTCCCAAATCAGAGCGTTGTTGGGTTTAGTTTGGTTTTGATGGGGAAATTGTTTTAATACCCTCTCTTCCACTGAGCGATGATGGCCATGTGTTCTGAGGTCTTCTCCCCAGAACGTCAGATTTTAGGAAGTGAACTGAGACTCTAAGGATAGTGTAACCTTCCCGTTCTCTCAGGATGCCCCTCAGCCGTTCCTCAGCCAGTGTGGGCCGTCAGATCTATTTCCATATGGTCGTGCTTGGGGATAGTCCCCTGTCGTGGGCTCTGCCTTATTTGTAATGATCAGGAGTTTCAAAAATACTTAGAATATAAGGTAATGAAATTAATTTCCTCTGGAAGGCAGTCTCTAGATTGGGACTGCCTTATGAAAGTTCTTAAAAGTGTAATTATTACATATATAATAAAAGGTATCTTTCCATCCTGCTCAAACCAAAAGGTGTCACCTCGTTGTGTTTATCCTTCTGTCTTCCCACACCCTGGCAAGTCTCCCGGTGTGCTGGTTAAGCTCTCTCTGTGCGGCTTTGCTTCAGACACCCTCACGCCCTCTTTGGGACACAAAGTGAAAAAGGTTTGGAGATCCAAGCCTACTGTTTTCCCAGCGTCTTTGCCCTCTTCTGCTTACTTTCTTCTCCTCATCTCTCCCTTCTTTTCTTCATCCTTTTCCCCTTTTACTCTTTCTTCCCTGCTCTCTCCTTATCTTTGCCCCCCCCTTTCTTATACCCCCTTTCTAGCTTCCTACTCCCTATGTCACTCTTGCAGTTTGCTGCTGTTTGGCCCGCTCTGCCAGACCTGTGAGCATAGCTGGGAGGGGTGGCGGGTGGGGTAGGCTATATGCGTCCTCCACCTGATTTCTAGATTGCTCTGGGGTAGTAGGAACCAGAACTCCCACACAGGTTGATGACCTTTTGCCCTTGATTCTAACTCTCAGGTTACATGTTACACATGAACCATGGCCCTGAAATGCTTTAAATTGACAAAATACATAACATTTGGTTTTAAGTCTTAAGAATTCTGAACAGTGTTGCTAATTGTTTAAACACACACACACACACACACACACCACAGAGAAAATTCTCAGGAGTTCAGAGCCCGAGATCTAGTTTTTCAGTTTTATCTTGGCCCCCAGAATTTAGAATCTCAGGCTATGGTCTAGTCTAATAAAACACCCAAGATTTTTTTTAAAACAGTTTTTGCATTTCAGAGTTTATTTTTGAGAGACTGTGAGAAGGGGAGGGGCAGAGGGAGAGAGAGAGAATCTCAAGCAGGCTCCATGCTGTCAGCATGGAGGCTGACTTGGGACTTGATCTCATAAACTATGAGATCATGACCTGAGCCAAAATCAGGAGTCAGATGCTTAACCGACTGAGCTACCCAGGTGCCCCAAACACCTAAGATTTTTAAAGTCAGTTTTCTTTACGGAGACACATGCTCAAGTTATCTCTTCTTGTCCTATCTTGTTTATGAAACTATAGTTCCAGAAAGCAGTGGGAATGTATGAAACCTAAAGGAAACTATCTTTTAAGTATATATTTATACTTAAAGTATGTATTTATTATATATACTTAAAGTATACTTAAGTATATATTTATATATATATACTTATATATATATAGGGTTTTTTTTCTTTTTTATTAACTTTCACTTCTTTTACTAATAAAAATGAGTGTCAGGAGAATATACTGAATTGTGTGTAGGAGGAGGAAGCAAATGGCTATGTAGGAAGCAGAGTACAATGCATCCGGGTCAAATGGGGTGAAGGGGCAGCTGGGAAGACCACAGGCCAGAGGTGCTGAAGGGACGTTCTTTGGAATTCCAAGGTAGTCACACAGCAAGATAAAGCACAACTTCCATAGAGCAAGCCTGTAGACTGTAATGATTATTTTCTGAGAGAGAGAGCAGGAGCCGGAGGAGGGCCAGAAGGAGAGGGAGAGAGAAGCCCAAGCAGGCTCCATGCTGTCACCATAGATACTGAGGCAGGGCTCCATCTCACAACCATGAGATCATGACCTGAGCCGAAATCAAGAGTCAGACACTTAACTGACTTGAGCCTCCCAGGCGCCCCTGTGATGATTATTATTTTATTGGGCTGCAGAAATAACTTCTAAATGGTTTTAATCACAAATGGGTAGCCTGAGTATAAGGCACGTTTTCAGCAAATAGCAGACAGGGTGACCATTTGCTTTGAAACACACGAGTCTGTTTTCTCCAGACATCTTCAGCTTCCATTTTTCCCAAGTGTCTCAGAACACTGAGTTTTCTGGATCTAAGTGGAAGTCAGAACTATGAAATAAATCCTCTTGAGAATTGCATTTCATAGGCATTTTTTTTTTAATTTTTTTTTCAACGTTTTTTACTTATTTTTGGGACAGAGAGAGACAGAGCATGAACGGGGGAGGGGCAGAGAGAGAGGGAGACACAGAATCGGAAACAGGCTCCAGGCTCTGAGCCATCAGCCCAGAGCCCGACGCGGGGCTCGAACTCACGGACCTCGAGATCGTGACCTGGCTGAAGTCGGACGCTTAACCGACTGCGCCACCCAGGCGCCCTCATAGGCATATTTTTTAAGTTAACATACGAATCCTATTTTTTACCTTAAATTACCTCAGTAAAAATATATTTCGTATTCTTAAGTACTTTTCTTCAGTTTTGAGAGGGAAGGTAGGTTCTCAGGAGATTTATCCAGCAAGGAGGTTCCAAACGTTGTCTTGTAGTACCGTTCTTTTTTGTTGTTGTTAATTTATTTATTTTTTTTCAATATATGAAATTTAT